GTTATCCGTGAAAAAGGTGTACACATCATCAGCTGATATTTTGACAGCAACAGCTACAACTTTTTTCATCTCTTCCGTTTTACAGTTTAAAAAGTCACGCGCAGTTAGAGAAGATTGACAGATTTCTCCACGAAACCAATTATTAACGAACAGTCGTCGATTCTCAATGAACAACACTTGATTATATTCTTAAATATCACAAATACTATGTTTGCATTTGATAAAGTCTGGATTCTTGAAAGGAGCGACAAGCTAGAATTTTTATTTGGAAGTTTTGGAAAGTGGAAAATGTTTTACGTTTTATAATTACGCAAAAAATCATTTTGAGTGTGTTGGAGTTTTAGAAGGCATTTATAAATTCTTCATTTTTCTTTGTTTATTCAGTTTCTTCCAATTGCCAGGATGAAGTTTTCAAGACCACTTGATAGTCGACTCCGTAATATCTGGGTAAAGATAGAAAGCTCATCTGCTTGAGAGTATGTTTGATTATGTGCACGTGTCAGTGTTCGTGCTGCAGTCATTTACCCCACTTCTTACTACCTCATGTGATGCAAAAGCTTAGTAGAGAAAACATCATTTGACTGCTGTAAAGTGCAGAAAATAAATATTGACTCATACCCATTACAACGAAAAAAAACAAATTTTCTTTTTTATTGCTCAAGATAAAAACACTCATCTTTCTCCTTGTGATACATTCAAAACAAAAAGAAAATTGCCTACTCGCCATCTCACCTCTCCCTCCCTCCTTTTTAATAAAAATGTTATGATGCGTAAAACTTCAGCATATTTTGCTCTGAACATGCATATGACCTTTGAAAAATGGACTCTTTTTGGTGAATGCCAAATTGCATTTTCAAACTTTCTTGGATACTACTTTCACTATTTTTGACAAATTATGCAAAAAACACCAGCATCTATGTACTCTATGAAAACTTTTCGACGCATTCTCTATCAAACCCTACACTTAAATGAAGTTTAACATCGGTAGTTTTTAAGATATGCATCATGTAGGACATCCAATTCACAAGAGCGTCATAGGGATAGAACACCGACATGTATCCGCCTATTTATCATCTCAGTGTATTTTGAGTGCAAAAAAGGAAATCATTTTTCTCTACGAAAAAGACTAATCCACAAGGTACACACTCTTTCCCATCTACCAAATTCAAAATCAACAGTAGCAATTGCAAGAGCTGTCGCCTCTATGTTCTACTGTTCATCACGATTTTACTGAATTAGAGTAATGTGCATTGGTTCGAATTTAATTGAGTGAGCGTCTAAAGCCATTTTGACTTTGCAGCAATTTTCTAAATTTCAATATAAAGTAGGGTATCGGTCAAAACACAAATATTCTAGATTATTGTAGAACATCTATTGTTCTTGAGATGATTTATTCAAATTAACCTGGTTTTTAC